GGCACAAGCTATATTCTCAACTAAATGTTGAGCAATAGCCGATTCAATATTCATGGGGGAAGATAGCATATTCTATCTATCTTACCAAGTCGTATTTTGGAAGGTACGTGCTGATTAATTCTAGTTTCCAAATGCAAGGTTGTACGCCCCACATAACCAGCAGCACACTGGCAATTAAATTCATATACTAAATTACTCAATTTGATGTAGGGCAATACATCCTTGCGAAAAGACGGAAACGCAGACCTAGTTTGAAAAATGCTACGTAAAGCAACTGATGGGAAACAACCGGAAACCGACTTGCTAACCTGCTTAATTAAGCCCTGACCCCTATCCCCAATCCAGATATAGATATATATCATAATTATTATTTTTTAATTATGATTTCTATGTTTCGATTTCGAAACTCAACTGCTAAATTTTAATTTCAATATTAAACCTTAAATTTAGATGATAATTTCATTCTGAAAAGATGTTTGGAATAACTTAGCAATTTTTTTTTACTAATTTATAGGTTGAAAATGGAGTTGTAATCTGGGGTTTCTTTTTCATTATCATGGGGACTCTGCTTTATATGATATAATCAACATTCCTCTGCTTTGATGAATTATATTATTTTATATAATAAACAGTTCTACCTTCATCAAAGCAGAGGCCCTTTCATAATGAAAAAGTAACCCCAGATTATACTTCCATTTCCAAACTATAAATGAATAAAATATTACTTCGCTTTGTTACTCCAAACAACTCTTGAGAATGAAACTGTCCTCTGAAGTTAAGGTTTAATATTAAAATTATACTTAAGAACTTGTTTCGAAACATAGTAATTTCTGTGTCGCGATGCAATCATATTTAAAAAAAATAATTATATTTTAAGCTCTGCTTCTGTATCGTGCACTGTTTTTTTTTTTTTATTAAAAACAAGAATAATAAAGAACTTTTAATTATCAATCTAATTGTTCTTTCTTATTACATGAATACACACACACATATATAGTGTTCGTTTTTGTTTGTATATATATATTAGGAGGCACGGCTTGGATTGAGAAATCGGAGAGACGAGTTCGAATTCCAGTCGAATCCATTACATTCACTTACGTGCTAATACACCATGGAAAGGTGTGAATCATCTTGCTCTCCTTTCATGGGTTCAATAGCCTTGGATGGCAAGTGGTCTAGGAGAAGGACAACTCTGAATTCAAAAAGCAGCAGATGGTCGTTTGGGGGCCTTGTGGCAAGTAGGATCTCAGTATTCGGCCATTCAAAAAGTGTGGATGGTCTTGCACGAAACCTTCCGCACTATAATCAAATCTCATGTGCTGTTGTCGGGCTGTCGGTTTCCTAGGAACTGATCTGCTTGGCCCTCATATGTCGAATATATATAAGAACGTTGGTTCACAACAAAATCCATCTTACACATTTATAAACCTATCATTCCTCCATGCATTAATTATTGTTGCCATATCTGGTTCAGTGCTCCTGCTATATATCTTGAGTTTCTCGACAAATTCCGAAAAGTGTCTGAAATATTATCATTCCTGTTCTGTTATCTCGACTTCAGTGGCTTGTTTTCTATAAATCGAGATGAAACCACACTGCTCTGTTTTACGTGGGTGTCCCACTTATAGCGTCACATGTGAAACACAAATGTGTTTACAAAAGCTAGCTCCTGGAACAGTGGAGTATAACCAGTAACAAATGTACAGTGATTAACTTACATGTAAATGATAGGTCTCGTCAATGCAGATTATTGTTTTATGTTCTTGAACAAGTTCTTAAGGAAACACTAAGAACAATCCCATAGAATGATTTATAGATGTTCCAATTATCTTTTCCATTTCTTAGCAAGAGTGCATGAATTTAAGCGTATTACTAGATAGGCAACGAGGTCTAATCGTTTTACTGCTGAAATAGCTAGATGTAGCCGTAAGTTCTATACTAATAGTTTCTTCTCTCGGACTTCCGGTTTCTTACTTCCGTACCTCAAACGATCTTGAAATGCAACGTTAATCGCCATCTCCTGTCCTCATCAATCCTGCTCTTTTATTATCCTTTTTCTTCGGTAACTTCTTCTCATTCCCTTTCCCTCTCAGTAATCCCTTGTGTCTTAGTGACATCATCGCCTTGCTTTGTGTGAAAATTATTTTAAATATATATCGGCAAAATATCTTCAAATCTAAGACATCGGTCATAAAAACAGAAAAGACCTTCCATAAAATTCCTTGGTATATCTTAGAAATAAAAACACACCATCATTTTAAGTTCTAAAATGTTGCCTCATGACGGAGAAAATATGGAGTCGGAATATTAACAAAAAATCAACATGGAATAAATACGCATCACACGCAATTTTCCTATTAGTAATATTCGTAAAACCTATAGTTAAAAAATGTAACGTATTTTAAGACATTTTTATGTTTATACATTCTTTTGTATAGATACAAGTATGTAAGCAAATGCTCTGTCTATAATAAACAGTATTAAAAACATTTACCGGGTTCAATGGCCGAGAAATTGTCATAGAAAATATGTGTCCTCTGACAAGAATCGAACCTGTATCCTATACGGAACCGTCATATAGCCTGACGTGCCTTAACCGATTGAGGCACAAGGAAGCGTTTTAGTTAGCAAGGTCGATTTTTTACTGTTTTTAAACTATAATTTTCATGATTTTTCTGACGTACGTTCATATCTGCTAGATGCGTATCTAAATGTAAGCAAATAATGTCACACATTATGAAATGGACAAAGTCTGACAATTATTTTGAGATATTTTCATGATTATACATTCTTTTTTATAGGTACAGGATACGTGTTCGATTCCTGGCGGAGGACTCATATTTTCTATGACAATTTCTCGGATATTCAGGCCGGTAAATGTTGTTTAATACTATTTATTATAAACAGAGCATTTACTTAAATATTTTATCTCTAACAAAGAATGTATAAACATAAAAATGTTTTTAAGTAATTGTCGGACTTTGTCCATTTTATAAAATGTAACGTAGAAACACATTCGTTCCATTGTGCGTCATATGACAAGAGCAAAAAGCATTCATTTTCCGTAAGCACTTGAATCACCCTAACATTTCAAGAATTAAACAGACGTACGAACAGACGACAGGAAGCATGCACGTGACGCCCACACAACCAATGAGCACAAAACAAACGTAGCATTTCCAAACCATTCATACATACACAATGCATACACACTAACACCATAAAATAAACACGTGACATCTACACAAACGAACGCAGAAGTTAATAATCCAAACATAACTCGAAATTATTTCTCTTTCAAAATTTCTGACGAAACTAAGTAAATAAAAAAAATAAATTAAATTTCTAAAACATTTTCTACTTGTTCCTTATTTAATCATTCTGTCAGATTTAATCCACATGTTCAGCACATCTTATATATATATATATATATATATATATATATATATATATATATATGTAAATATATATATATATATATATATATATATATATATATATATATGCACACACATACATTTGTTATTTTACAGTGAGGCTCACAGATCACAAGGCTTGGGAGCCACGCGATGTAGAGGTTTACGGAGTAATAGGCATACTTTATGCTGATAGGCCGGGAAGATAACAGTTAACTCTAGATATGAACAGGTTAAGATTGTAGTGATCGGGTAAACATCCTTTTGGAAGTTGGTTCCACAGAGCAGGGGTTCCTGGGAGGAAGCTGCTTGAGTGGAACTTACTTCAAACCAAAATAATACTGAGCGAATGAGGGTGGTTCGTGACAATGTGCCTAGCATATCGCGTCCTACACCCGAAGGTTAGAACTAGTGGAATATAGTTCATCTGAATACTTTCCAGGGAAATAGTGATAGAGCAGTCGGGGACTTCATCCGTTTCGTTTGTGAGAGAGAGTCTGCAAGGTGGAAAACTGTTTGTCACATACAAAGACGCATAGTCGGTTTTGGTGTCTATCGGGACTGGAAAATGAGAACTGGGTATATGATAGAAGTAATCAAACTTTAAACCAGCACCTATAGCGATTTAGCTTATGTAGTCGTCTGGTTTGTGTCTGAGGCCCAGTAGGCGCTCAAAGTACGGAGTCTTCCCGAGGAAACATCCATTAATCGTAACTGGTCGGCGATGAAGTCCTTAACTAGTTTGGTTTTCGATGCATTGAATGTAACCAGCCAGTTTCCCCATCTCCACTGAGAAATAGGTGTTTTATTCTTGGCATCGCTTGCTCTCTCTTTATTGGTAGGTAGTGACACTTGGAATAACTTCTGTTATGTCAATTTAAAAGCTCAGATTTTTCTTTCAATTAACCCATTACCTATTTGAACCTCCTGAAACGTGGGTGGCAAAACGAACGGGTAGCCTCGGAACTACGCTTAGAAAAGTCTGTTTCCCGCCGAAGGTAGACCTTAACTGGTTCCCTCAATACCACGCATGACTCAATAAAGAAGAGCAACCGAATATATTAAATGTTCGGTTAGCTGTCGTTTGACTTCGAATGCTTTCCTTTGCCTGCAGGATGTCTTCTTCCTTACCGTTCAAGATCGAGATGAAACCACACTGCTTTGTTTTACGTGGGTGTCGCAATTATAGTGCCACAGGTGAAACGCAAATGTGTTTACACAAGCTAGCTACTGGAACGGTAGAGTATAACCAGTAACAAATGTACAGTGATTAACTTACATGTAAATGACAGGTCTCTTTAAAGTTGATGATGGAATCAAAATAAATGCTGATTATTGTTTTATGTTCTTGAACAAGGTCTTAAAGAAACACTAACAACAATCCCGAAGAATGATTACAAGTATGTATACACTTATAAACACGCAATGAAATCGATAATGTGTTAATGCAATAGGCTAATTTTCTGTAACTTCTACATTAATTTGCACCTGCAAGTTGGGTTGCTACAAAAAATTAAGATAAAAAAAACAAACCGTTTCACCTACGTATAACATTGATAATAGAACGTTAAGGGTATTACGCATCATATCACGTTGAAACACCGGATCTCTTACGATCACCGAAGTTAAGCAACGTCGAGACTAGTCACTACCTATATGGGTGACCACTTGCAAATACCAGATGCTGTAAGCTTGGATGTGCGGGCTGTTGTAATGGATAACGGCTCGAATTGGAAATCGGAAAACCGAGTTCCATTTCCCGTTAGGTTCGTTATAATTCCTTCCGCGCAATTACCCGAATGAAAGGTACGAATCAACCTCTTCTAAACACTTGCTATCGGTTAATTAGTACGACTTGTACTATGAAGTTATTATTATCTCCTTACTATTTAAAAAAAATTAACTGGCTTTAAATAACCTTAAAAGGGTTGATAAACCGTAAAGAACAGATTACATCAATAGAAAAATATATAACGCAATGATAAACAGTGTTAAAATAAAAGACTACAAATTCGAAGAGAGTCTAGCAAGTAGGTATTTACAGCAGTCGCAATCAATATACAGGAAAAACATGAGGAATTACTTTTGGCAGCGTAATCAAAACAATGTTTGTGCTCAGTAAGTGGCACTGTTATAATATTTCAGGCGACGTCTATGAAGAAAAGTAAAAAAGTCGTATAACAAGAGGGCCAATGTCAGTGTGAACTATACAAACAAACAAGCGAAAAAGAAAATAAATTATAGACATCAGAAAGTATAATTCTAAAAAAAACAATTATCTAGGATTTTGCGCAACTCACTGGATCTAACGTAATCCCTACAAAAATGAAACTAATGTGTGTGTTCTTTTTTTCCTGTTGTTGTTGTTCTAATTTTATTTTTTTCGTTGGAGGATAGAAAATGGTGATTGTTATAATAACCTTGAAGGCAAAAGAAAAATTATCAGTCAGACACGTACAGTTTTTTTTTTTTTTTATGTCTGGGAGACCTGCAATGTTTCATAGAAGTATAACGCGGAAAAGAGATAAATATTTGCAAAGATATAGATTAATCTGGCTTGAAAAGAATCTACATTGTTCTATTGGGAGAAAAGTTCAGCAAATATAACAGAAAAGACATTCTACAAACGATAAAAGGAAGAATCACTTCTGGAGAGCGCTCGTCATATCACTAAAACATTCTATCAAATTCCGTGTTTTAAACAAGAGTTGAATAATAAAAAAAAATAGATTGACGTCATACATTATGAAACGGACAAATCCGACAACTATTTTAAGACGTTTCTTTTATGTTTATACATTCTTTTTATAGATACAAATATTTAAGTAAATACGCTGTTTATAATAAACAGTATTAACGACATTTACCGAGAAATTTTCATAGAAAATATGCGTCCTCCGACAGGAATCGAACCAGTATCCTAAAACGCAACCGTGAAGTGCTTTTAACGATTGAGCTACAGAGGAGCATTCCGGTTAACGAGGTCGATTTTACTGTTTTCAAACTACAATTTTCCACGATTTTCTCTCATACATCCATATCTGCTCCATCGTATCTCAATGTCAACAAATGGCACACATTATGAAATGAACTTAGTTCGACAATTATTTTAAGTCATTTTTTTATGTTTGTACGTTCTTTTTGTGACGTCAAAAAGAAAGATTAAGAAAGAAATCCCACATCAATACTGAAAATAGCGATAACAGCTACTGTACGTGAGAAAGCAATTTTCCTGAAAAGTTGTTGTAAGTGAGACATATTTTTCTAAATTTTGACCGACATCTATACTGAATACACGGTAAATAAATGCCAAATATTTCCTTGTAGGGAAACGGCTGATATTACCACGAGCATTACCATTCAAATTTTATTAGCACTATTCCGTTTTGATTGGCCCTGTTCTCATTTTGAAATGGAAATAGCGTAGAATATAAAAGATTAAAAAAAAATCTAAGATCAAGGAAGCAAAAATATGAAAGGCTGAATGGAAAATATGTAGAGGTAAAGAAATAAACATTGCAGAAGACGGATTTAACACGTACGGGAAATAAATAAATAAATACAATAAAAAGCAAGGTAGAAGACGTGTTTTTCAGTAGGATGGACTAAACATAAAGCGATAACGATAAAAATAGCAAAAGAAAAGTTGCTATTGTAATGAAATCAGTACATAGGTGTGTCCTTCCATAACAACAAAGAAAAAAAAATCTCCTAATGAATAAAAGCGTAGAAGGAAACTTAGCACTAACATTTGACGTTTGGAAAAGCAATGGCCAAGATGAAGTGGAATGATGTAGCAGACATAATGGAATTCTATTAAAGGTGCTAACAGTCTGAAGCAGTTTTGGAATTGATAAGATTATTATTATTATTTTTAGTAGAAAATATGGCAGCGATAAAATACTGGATAACCTAAGCAGATTGATATGGCGTTACCAATGAAAATATATGTGAATATAAGTAGACAAATGAGAGGAAGACGTGGAGAGCCATGATCGCACGCATTCTGAAATGACATGAAACATAGACAGAGGAAGAGAGAGAGAGAGTTAGTGAGAGAAGTGGGACTAAAGTGAGAGTAAATTATATATTATTTGATACTATATATATATATATATATATATATATATAATTATTTATTCGAAAATTATAACAAATATGTTACAAAATCACTACAAAAATAGCCATTTTGTTTCAAGACTTCTGGTGTCTTATCAAGTGATGTTGTTGAATGTAGAATAAAGGGTCTTAAAAGGTCTGTGTGCGGATAATTATATATATATATATATATATATATATATATATATATATATATATATATAAAATCATCTACAGACAGACTGTTTCGCAGCTCATCAGTGTGGCTAAACATCCGATCGCTTCAAGTTGAGACCGAAACCCGATTGATTTGGCATCCGTCGGAGATTCTAACCCCTACCGGCATGGAGAAAGACGAATTTTTTGCGTATTTATCATTTCAAAAACACGCCAGTGACCTTGAGAACTCAATCCGAATTGGGGAGTCTTGCATTATCAGCAGTAATAGTGTCTGTTTACAAATTCGCATTTTTCTAGATAGATAGATAAACATGTGTGTCTGTGTGGCTTGTCAATCATGGTCTGAGGATATAAAAGAGTATTTATTTTTCGCAACAAATATCTATCTTCTATTATTACTTTTTCAACGCTATTAAATCAGAGGTAGATCATTACACGGAGAACATTTAAGACCAATGGTTAGTTAATATTGCGCATATGTACGTAATTATTGACCCAATCTCAGGCATATATGTCTGAAGTGAGCGAGATAAACAAGTTTTATTAAATTCAACAGAAATGTCTTTTTTATTACTTTTCACTTGTAGTATACGCTCATATTTGAATTAAATTTGAAATCCTGAGTTCTCAGAAAATTCCAGGATGTAACCAAAAAACTTTTGTCTAGTATAATAACATCATCCAGTTCTTGATAATAACTGATTGAGTCGAAAATACATAAACTAAACCAGGAAAAGAATCTGACCTTTGGATAGTATATTCACTAATTTGATTTAGTTGTTCATTTATATCAGAAATTATAAAAATACAATAAAGATTATGCAGGCTCAAATAGACATTTTCGGCTAAACTTAGCAGAACTTGTTGCATTTTATTCCTGCATTACCTACATATACCATATATCTATCGAGTGTGTGCGGCAAATGTCACGTCCTTTTTTATTTATTAACATTCATAAACAAAATAGATTACTGTAGTTTAAGGAAAAATCATTTTTTTATGTTACAATACTTATTGTCACATGAAAACAGCATGATTTTTTTATGATTAACAAACAATTTAACATGTCCAAGATGTCCCACCTCATGTTCAATACAACGCTGACAGCATTAATTTTGAAAAAATTATCAGAAATTCCTTGTTTTAATTCAGAAATTGTTTTCGGTGTGAGCCTGTACATAAGAACTTTCTGTACACGCCACAAGAAAAAATCAGTTGGTTTTCGTTCTGATGTTGTTCAAATTGGTGTTAACTTTAACTGAACCAAAATAGATAGCAGTTGTTTAAGATGACTTAAGATTAAGTATGGCATGCGCATTCAGCGATGTTTGAATCTTGATTTTGAGTTGAGGGTGGATAGGACGACGTCGAGCAATTGAGTGGCCAGACTTAATCCTGAGCTACTGACCAAGATGGGGAAATGGCCTAAAACTTGATTATTTTTGTATGAGGTGCAAATTATTGCCACCTAGGTATCATGCAACTCTAGAAGAACAAATAGTTCACTGGTTATCACAAGCTAAGCAGTCAAATGATTATAATCGATTTTATTTTGCTAATGTTTTGCCTTCTCTAGGTGGCAAATCACAAACTAAAAAACCTGAAAAACTGCAATTCCGCCTTATTTGTAACAGCGTAGAACAATATGGAGAAAAGAAATAAAATAAAAACAGGAGTGCTTTTAGTAGATATTAGACTATATGAATACCAATTATCAACTTGGTGTCTACATGGAATGCAACGTAATGTAGTGCGGAATTTAGCAAAGAGTTATATTTTGAAATCAGTAAAAACTGAGAGCAAATTTCAAGAGGTTGTAACTCCTGAACTGCGAATTTAAGGAAACTATTTTTTTAGCGTTTCTCAGTTTCTTATAGGGGGTGGGGTACAACATTGTAAAATTTCACCAGCGTCTGAGATGATTCCCATGGGAACTGCAGAAATTTTGGTTGAGTTGAGCTTGGTTTAATATGATCGCCTTACTTGGGTGAATTGTCACCCCGTATATATATATATATATATATATATATATATATATATATATATATATATATATATATATATATATATATATTAAGAAATATGCATAACATCTTACATTAATACAATTAATCTTACATTAGTGCAATTAATGTAAGACATATATATATATATATATATATATATATATATATATATATATATATATATGTTTTATTTCTTACAATATAAAGTTTTTAGATGTAATTAGGTCATATATATATATATATATATATATATATATATATATATATATATATATACGCTCCCGGCACATTTGTTTTTGTTCAACACCCCAGAACCAACCTGTAGTTTATACTGCAATTATGCTGGAGTCGAACATAGTTACTGTTTCTGTGAGAGAGCGTGTTATCTAGCGTGATCAACAATCTGA